CTCTTTCACCATAATGCTTCCACTATTTCCTGCAAGGATAGAAAGCTCTACTCCAGTTCGCTGCATTAAGGGAAGCAACAAAATAACAAATATAATTCAAGGATACATATAAATGACTAAAGGGCTCCAAACTCGTAGATTCTGACATTGGAGATTATCAGGGTAATTACAACATAAGGAAGTTATACACAATCTCTCCTCTTTTCCAACTAAGGCAAAAATGAACCAGTACCTTATTCATAGCAGAGATAGGCAACCACCCGTTTTGCCTTTGAGCTAAATCCAGGACTGGAAGCACAGCTGCTGCTTTATGCCCTTCTGGATAGTTTTTTACAATTGCCTCTATCCTCTGTATAAAAAAAAAAACAAAACAAAAAACACCCACTTTATACATATGAAAGCTACTAAATATTCATATACCCAACTTTTATCAGAATTTACAACTTGGAGTTGGGGGACAGGATTTTGAGCCAACTTCAACTTTCTGTTTGATATACTTCAATACTGCCCAGCTATTTTTACAACATGCCAGTACTTTATAGTAAATAATAAAATTAAAAGATAAGTCCTTTTACTTCATTTGGCTTATATAGGTATAATGCAGCAATGACATTTTGTATGGAAAAATGCCTCTTTACTTTTTAAATGCTACTGTTATAACACCTATTTCAAATCTCCCTTTCCAAAGCATTCCTTCTATACTCTTATTTGTTCCATGGCCTCTTTGAAAGAATACATGCGCAATAATAGTCATTTTTTACATACCCCATGCTATCTCACAGTAAGTGAAACATAATTTTCTAAACAATGAAAATTTTAAAACTCTTAGAAGCTTTTCAAACATACTTACTGACTAAAAAAGAAAAGATGGTAGATAACTTAGCTTTGAGGCTGAGAACTAAGGAAGATTTATACAAAATAGAAAGAAATAAAGGGGGGGCAAACAACAGTAAAGACAAAATTTTACTGGGGAAATATGGATCCAATAAGCTGGCAGATGTTGGAAACTTTAGGTAGAAATACGTCAAATCTATAAAGACAATTCTATTTTTTATCAAAGTTATAAATACAATGTATCCCATACCAAGCTTTTTCTGAATGGCCTCCAGTATGCTGTCAGAGTTTCGAAGCATGCAAGGTGTAGTAGTGCAGACTTGAATGTGATACTTTCCAACTGGCTTTCGATTATACATTGTATAAAAAGTTGCTACTTCATATACTCTCATTGGAGGTACTTGTAAAATTTCTGCAACCTAAAATATTAGGACATTTTAAAATAAGCTAATTATAATGTTTATTAATTGAGCTTTTTAGGTATGTTGTAAAAAGTATAATTTCAACTTTGCCTCAATTTGGTAAAAACAGAAAATTTCTTCAACAGTGAAAAACATACTTGTATCTGATAATTACGAGATATAAACCCTTCAATTTTTTCAGACATCTTACACTTAAACCACATGGAGTGCAAAAGCTAATGGAGTTTACAGCACTTCCTCCTTCTTCTACCCCACTCTTCACCTCTGCAAAAGGATATTCTTTTTCTATAAATCTTTAAGTCTTTCACTATTAAAAATTTCTACTTTGATCAACTCATATTTTGTAATTTAAACTGTCTAAATAGCAAAAATTTAGTGGCCAAACCCCAATAAAGGAAACAATTAGATTTTTAAAACCCTTCACCAAAAAAGTCTTGATGTTACTCATGAGCTATAGTACATGCAAATGCTACAGCAACAGAAAAAAGGTTAAGAATCAAAGCTATTAACCCATATTTGTTTACACAACTGCATTTAGATAAACTCAAAATTTTATATCTCTGTGTACTATATGTATGCACATACATCACACACACGTACACCTCTCCAGAATAATCCAAAACACTACTTCTACTTCATATCACAATGCTCTTTCAAAAGCTGGATCTTATAGACAAGTACTTCCCATCCCTTCGCAACTACCTGACCATGTTTTACTTAAGACAGTACCTCACTAAACTTGCTTTATGACATTTTTCATAGCGAAAAAAGTATTAAGGGTCCATACAGAGTTAGGAGTACTGTACAAAGCAAATAAACGAAACCTAAAAGTTGCATTAGGGATTCTGTTAGATAAATTGAGGACATTCCTATTCTCCAACAAAGATGATGGTCTAGCCTAATAGTTACAACCAAATAAAGTCTAGAAAGTGATAAGAAGAATGAAGTACAGCAGAATCTCTGTGACGGTCAGTCGGTCAAGTATAAAATGCATTGATTTGGAAATGAATTCAGTCCTAGCTCTATCACTTAGAAATTATAACGTAATAATTGGAAGAGATCTACCTGGTTCAAAACCTTCATTGCCAATGAAGAAGTAAGTCCAGAGAAAAATCACACAAAAATATTTCCATTATGAAACATGGCTTGGTTGTGTGATTCTCGTAAGAATCAAACAGTATGTGGATTTTGTATAACACTTTGTAAATGATACACTGTATTACATCATCACACAAATGTAGTTATTTATACTAATAGGATATGAATAAACTTGAAATTTGGATTACTGCTGAAAACTATTAGAAAAAAATAAATCTTAAAATATGTATGAATAGATTAACTTCATATAGTTAGTGAAAATGGGTCGCCCATAGCATTTTTTAAGGTTGTTGGTTCCAAGGTAGCATAAATACTACATATTATATTATAAATTTTTGTTAAAGCCTACAGTCAAAGATGTAAAATATTAAAAAGACTCATACTAGCTGTGACCAGATCTTTTTTTTCTGTAATTCTAATGTTTAAATATTATGCTAATTTTCAGAGTATCTTGACACTAAATTATACATATTTGGGATCTTTCATCTTTATTATGACCATTTCCCTCAAAAAAAAAAAAAAAAAAACAGCAAAACAAAAAAACTCTTTCACCATAATGCTTCCACTATTTCCTGCAAGGATAGAAAGCTCTACTCCAGTTCGCTGCATTAAGGGAAGCAACAAAATAACAAATATAATTCAAGGATACATATAAATGACTAAAGGGCTCCAAACTCGTAGATTCTGACATTGGAGATTATCAGGGTAATTACAACATAAGGAAGTTATACACAATCTCTCCTCTTTTCCAACTAAGGCAAAAATGAACCAGTACCTTATTCATAGCAGAGATAGGCAACCACCCGTTTTGCCTTTGAGCTAAATCCAGGACTGGAAGCACAGCTGCTGCTTTATGCCCTTCTGGATAGTTTTTTACAATTGCCTCTATCCTCTGTATAAAAAACAAAACAAAACAAAAAACACCCACTTTATACATATGAAAGCTACTAAATATTCTGTAATTTAATTATAATGTAAATTTAGTCATACCTTATAGTTTTCCGGTGTGAAATCAAATGGAGTATCTGGGTTATTCTCAGGAGTATCTCTGTGCTATACAAAGAAAAAAAGGGTTTCCAAAATTATCCAAATTCTCTCAAAAGTATGAATAACACTGTACCTCACTATATTGTTTAATTACTGTTTAATCTCTCCATTTTAATTACAATATGATATATATCAATCTATCCTTCCATCAAAAAGAATGACTAAACACATATTTGATGCGTATGATCACCAAAGTAAAGTTAGCAAAACTCAAAATTTTAGAAAAGTTTTAGGAAACACCTTTTAAAGGTTAAGAGAAGTAACTTTTGGACCACAAAACAAACAAAAAAAGTGTTATTCGACTTCATTAGATAACAGGATCTTCTAACATAAAGACCAAAACACTACCAATTAGTGGAAGCCTTATGAAATTAAGACACAAAATTTTAAGTGTGAACATATGTACATTTTTCCAAAAGAGAGGGTGTCAGATTGTCAAAGGGATCTGGGACCCAAAAAGGTTAAGACCCATTACTTTAAGGAAGGTACAAAAGGACCATCTCTTCCCCACGTATTTTCCACATGCAGAAGAGCAGGAAGCTTTATTTCTTCGCCTTAAAAGAGCAAAGCAGGCCCATTTCCAAAACTGACAAGAAATGACAGGTCAACAGGAAATCAAATGAGTCACACTGAGATTAACACATCAATTAATGTTATGTATGTGTGGTAAATACAGAACTGAATCTCTTGATATGTTAACTCTCAGAGTTCTGCTTTTTAAAGGACATAAACCAAAAAGAGGAAAGAAAACAGAAACTTTGGACAATGATCTTAAATATGTGGCCAATTTGATGTTTTTAGACAAAGATGACAAAACATAGCAGGAAGCTACTTATTATATCACTAACTCTAAATCATCATACAAGTCCACTATATTGCCTTTAAACAACACTAGATTAATCTCTAAAAACTGCACTTTGTTCGAAAAAGGGATACATTATCTTATTCTTTCTGAATTGTACAACTAAGCTGCTAAATTCATAGACTTCTACCTGTAGTTAAATCCTGGAAACCAAAAATATAAATGCCAGCTACTAATATATTCACTACATTACTAAAATCCATGAGTTTCAAACTAATGTCATTTTGAGATTCTCCAAGTTACAGCCTCACAATCTTCAGTCAGCTAGCATGATTGATTTTTAAGAACCCAGAGTTATGAGAATCAGGTTAGGGCTCACAGTAATTTCACCAAAGAACAAACTAAGTTCTTATTCCTAGAGTTTCCCTGGTGCCAATTTAAACATGAGAGGTTCACCTGGCATCACCTATATTTTGAAATGTAGTAAATTCAATTAGCTGTATTTAAATACCCACAATAGCCAGCATATACCAAAGACACTGATGTTTAAGATATTTGGGGTCATTACAATAGATTTACACAAATTTCCAAGTCTTTTCTTTCTGAAGAAATCAAGTAATTACTTACCACAAATAAAGCTCCTCCAGCTCCATTTTGCACAGCGGTCTTATGCAAATTCCTTACATGTCTTCCCTAAAATTTAAAATTTTAACAAAGTTTAGTAAATCACAGCCTTAAGAAATGTTTCTTAAGGAAATACTTCAAGATTCATAATTTAAAACAATTAGATTAACTTATATAAGATCTTAAGAGATATGGTCTACCACTCTATACCCTGTCCATCTCTATTTCAGGAGAGGTATTAAAAAAATGGAGATTCAAAGGCAAGGTTATTCACTTGCCTAACGTCACACTCAAGAGTCAATGGGAGAAGCAGGACTACAATCCAGATGTGCTGAGTTGTGTACCCTTCCTACCACACTCTGCTGCCATGCATTTGGAGAATTAATGCACCATTAACTTATTGCCTTTCCCTTTTGTTTGAATCAAGTTGGATGCCAACTTTTGTTTAATGTGGACCATCATAAACATGTTTTCATTCTATACATATGAGTCATACACTCTGTACAAATGAGTCAACTATATCCTCCTTTTCAATCCTGTACTAAATTACTTCAGAAACTACAACTGTACAAGTAGTTTCATAAAGCTATTTATGACATACACAGATTGACGATATTCAATTGCTTTGGAAAGAATCTGATTATTCTCTGTTGCATTTCATTTCTCTTTGCCCTCTTGCTCCTTCCCTGCCCCTCAAGCAATCAACTATTGATTGCTTTGGATTCCTCCAATTTCTGAGTTCTACTAACCACAGATGACAGAACACTGAATTAAACCAAGCATGGAACTAGCAAAGAGTTGCACAATTCAAAGAAGGCAAACATAGAACAAAGTAAAAGGAATAATATAATACAAATACATATTTAACTTTTCCCTGGGTCCAAATAATATTTCAGTTGAAGAAATAAGTTTACATGGAACATTTGCTTTAATTAATATGATCCAGGTACAGAATGTGAGATACAGGAACAAAAGATGGGAGTGATAAATATCAGTTTCAGGATAATTGAGGGGGATGCAATCAGAGGAGGCTTCAATTGTGTTGATTTTTTTCTTTCTTAGGCACACAATTCCTTATGTTTTTTTGTATCTTAAATATATGATAATTTTTTTAAAAGAATGCAACATTTATATTCAAGGAGACAGTTTAATTTCTCCTAAATTGCTTCAGGATCAATCTCTGAATTAAACACAAGGTTATGCCTATATCCCTAATTTGCCTGTCCAGAACCCAGACTGAGATAAACATAAAAGTATCGCTATTCCTGAATAATACCATAAGAACACTATCAGTATAAAACTTTCAAAAATTAACTGAAACTAAAATTTAGAAGACTGTTACTGTCATCACCTTAGCTAAGAAGATATTAAACAGCAAAAAAAAATCGAAAAACAATTTTAGAGTAACATTAGTGAGTTATTTAACTAAAACCTGAGAGAAAAGAAAGATTTCATAATAAAGGAAGAAAGGATTAATTTTAAGAGCAGGGAAAGTATCCAATCCTCTCTTAACTTCTAAACCCTAACATTTTCTGTTTATTGACTTTTTACACTGGTCCCTGTAGGTTGTCTTCTGGGCTCAGTTCTCATTCCTATGTCCTTTTCTCCATAAAGTCTTTGCCTCTGAAAGCTTATCCACTCTTATCTATTAACTCTGTGGCAAGGATTTAAATCCTATATATACTTGGTGACAAAAGGCTAATAGCTTGAAGAGTTCATAAATGCAAAAAAAAAAAAAAAATCAATGAAAAAAGGACCA